GGAGTCACTTTCAAGGAAAAGAATGCAGGAAGTTGTCCTACACCGTAACTGAGGCTTTCGATTGGTCACTGAACAGCTCGTGCTAACGCGGACTGTTACGTTCCTCTTCTTACTGGTGGGCACGATGGCTGGAGGCGGGCGGTTATTACCAACGTCATTGATGGAAGGGCTGCGAGAGGGCATCTGACCACACCCCACTCGCCCTTCCACTGCGACGGAGCAATGTCAACTGAACAAAAAAATTTTGGTTGGATCTTTTTGGCCACATTTTTATGTTAGGTGAAAGACTGTATTTGAAATGAGCAAGTCTTCATGAAATCAGAGGGAGCACGCTCACTGGATCTCGCTGAAGGTATACCCAGCACATTGGTCAAAAAGGGTGCGCAAGTAGGAAGTACAGAGATCATGGAATTTTCAAAGAAAATTTCCAGATTTCACTTTTTTCAAATTTCGGAAGAAAATTTTCACCTTGTGATGTTCGCCTTGATGAAGATACGATCAAAGCAATTTTCAGCACAATATTTCACACCACTGCAAATATTTCTGCTTTGCTTGCTGATGGGACGATTCATTCTCACAATAATAATACTCTTACTAGGATTGAAGGTGGGCTTTTTTGGTTAGCATAACACTCTGCTTATTGGATTCTCGGGAATTTTTCCGTTCTGTTACCCTGGGAAAACTTCTTAATTTGTTTGAAAAGTGCTCGATTCAAGGACCTGCTCACCAGCTCCACATGATGGGCGGTTAATTCCGGTTAATCCCAGTTGACAGACGGAACACGCAGCCACGCCCTCCCTGAGTTAGGGATATGAAGCTTACTTGTTGAAGGCAAATCCTGTACCAATTCGCCGAATCCCAAGAGGTTACACGTCCTAACAAAATGGCTCCTGTGCTAATAGCAGTCGGTAGGAGAGTCCAAGAAATCAGACTAGCACCGATGATTCTACAGAAAGAGTTGCTAGAACTCAATCATGCATTGGAAAAAGCGCAGCAGTTGCTCTGCAAGAATAAAGAAATTTGTCCAGGGTGAATCTGGTATTCTTAAACGAGAAAAGGTACTGTAGGCTCTCGGACTGTCGGGGGAGGGATAGATGAATTTTATGCGTCGACAGCCCACTTCAAAAGCTTAGTGCGCGATAAGGAGCGTAGGTATGGTGTTGAACCATGGAACAGAAGTTGTCAGGTGACTCATCCATGGAGAGAAAATGCTAAAGGGAAGATCGAAAAAGCCTTTATATGATTCCACCTGTCTCAAACACTTGTACGTTCAGAGGCAAGTGGCACGATAAGCACCCAAAAGCGTGTAGGATTAATACGCCTAGCAGGACAGAATTCGGTGCCTTGAGCAGACACTGCTGCGCCTTTTCCAAAAAAAGGTGCTACGCAGCCTCAGCGCCCTATCAAGATGCAACTTACCGACCCGGACTCCCAGGCGCCCGTCCGACCGCCAATGTCCGACGGATGCTGAAGCTTGTATCGCGTCATTTGTAGTGCACAGCACAAAGGGAAGGGATCAATATGAAGCGGCTGCGGTGCTGCTACATACATGCAGCTGTATCTACCATACGCGGTTATTGGCATGATACCAACGGGGAACTCTCGTCCGAAATTGCTCTTTGAGTCGTGTAGCAACAAAGTCTTTTTGCAAGTTTTGACCGTTTTACTTCTCTTTTTCGCCATTTTCCCACTATACAGCGCTCCTGGCTACCATTTTGGACTGAGTGCCAACTTATCGTGCCTTATGCCTTTAGAAGGCCGGAAGACCGCGTCGTGGGAAGAGTCCAATGGGGCTAATGAGGTGATTTCTTGTAATACTCCTGCGACCCTACTTGTCCGGTAGCATCACTTTTGGAAGGTGGGCTTTGAAGGCGGGGTATGGAGGGGAGTTACTGGAGAAAGAGAGGTGTCACTTGAGCTACTCTTCGCATTAACTTCTTTAACTCACTACTTACAGCCGCGAACGGTACAGGGTTGTCCACTTACCCTCCTCACTAGCTTTCCCACATAATCTTTTGCATTTTCATATGCCATCGCGGACAGTTCCTTTGACCAGTAGATGTCGCGCGCCCACTTCAACAGTTGGTGGAGAGCTGGCTGGCGCCGCGCCGATCCCAGGCTTCTGACAACTGTAGATTTCTTGTCCGCCGTTTGTGTCAGTCTGAGGTTCAATGGCACAGTTTTATGAATGAGCTCCGAGAAGAGGAGTCACTTGTATAGAAAAAAAAACTCCAAAAACAATTTCAGATGGAGAAAGACTTCATGAGATCAATAACAATGACAATATTTATCCCGATCGCATTTACGGAAGTTTTCAACATTTATTCTGAAGTGGTCGCCTACATCAGTTTATTTGCAGCTGATGAAAAACAGTATAACTATATCTTCAAGTAAGTTCGGATTATCAATAGCCATAAAAGAACAGATTTATGCGGATTCTCGGAATCAAATCCTTTTCTCTGTTAGGTTTTCAGAGTTTTTTTTTGAATGGGTTGCTCAGTGAAGCTTGGCTTCTTATCCTTGCCGCTTTCATTTCACTCAGTGAAGCACAGCCGCCTACTTACCAGACTACTCGTGAGAAATTGTGGTCCATTTGCTCGAAGAGGATCTCGCAAGGGGGCTCTTCAGGCCGTGGAGCATTTTCAAAGGGAGGGCGCGAGGGCTTTTAGGTCGCAGCCTATTTCAGTGCGGATTGTTGCATGTTGTACAGGCTTATGCGTGGACCACAAAGTATAGCTCATTTTTGCTAAGGAAGCTTATCGAGCTTCTTGAAAGAGCAAAGAATGAGTGAAACAATGGGGTAATGGTTCGAATCCCTTGGATGACTTAATCTCGCTCCTCTGCAGTTTTTAATAATACTTGATAACCTTAATACTGAGGCGGAGGTAGTGTGTGGCAAGTGGCACCCTTACCACTCGCGCGGTGCCGGGTTCAAATCCCGGGTCGACTCCCGCTAAGGCCACCAAACCTTCTACCCCGGATGCTGTACACTGGTACCAGATTCGACGACAAGTACACTGACTTGTCCATCGGCTGGCCCCCGCAAGTCATTGTATATCGAATGTATATTGTATATTTGCCACATCGCATTCAATAAGCCACTACGATTCTGAATGGAAGTAGAATGCGTGCCGCATCCCACAAAGGGATTGATCAACGGCGAAGACTTTATCCTTTATCCTTTTAGACTCTCAATACCAACCTTTTCTCTAATTAACACTGTGTACAAGAGCACCCTATAAGAAATACGAAGCCCAAGACACAGAAGAGGTTTCTATCGCTCCTTTCACCGTGGATCCGTCCACTTTGATTGTCCTAGCTTGGTATTCCCAGAAGTGCGTTGCGAAAACATACTACACCTATGGGCCCCACGGCCGGGAAGAGCTCTTTTTTGGACTCAACGAGAGAGGCGCGGAGATGTTGTAGTGACAAATGGCCTAACGCCCACGGTCCCCGTAACTGGTCACTACCCGGATCAATTACGCCTTCCGGGCCAAGCTAGCCTGTAAAGACACAAAACATTCGTGTGTAGGGAGGTGAACACCGTGCTGTACGGGGTCTTCTACGAGTAATGGCGTAGTATTTTCCAAGTAATGATTTGCGTTTACGATGAAGCCTTCTGTCATTGCATTGTACAGCTTTTTGGTAGGACAAAACTCGGCCTATGATGCAATGTAAGTACGTTTCACAAGTAGTTCACCTTCAATGATTTGTTGGGGATTAAAGCGAACTGTCAAGCTGCCCACATGAGCGAAAACCCCTCTTCCTTGAGCATATTATAGAGTCGCGGAACTTCAGCTGTAAACCTGGTGACCAAGAGTCAGGAAAAAAATTGCGTTTAGGAAATTTCGAAAGCATTTTAGAGAATTGACATATGAATTTCGAAGGTAAGCGTCGCCCGCACTCCCTGTTCCGCTCAGTGCGGAGCTGCTGAATCAGCTTACTCTTGTAGACTTAGGCTAGCCAGCTAGGGAAACAGCAGAGATCATGGAAAGCCTCCGCGCTTCACTTGAAAGGAAAGGTTGGAAAAATGGTGCTCTTGGGTTCCTCATCTACAGGCCTCTCGTCGAATTCATGCATACTCAACTTTGAAAGTTCCTACATTGAATTGCAGTGCATTGGGTAGAATACACACCGGGAGCATTTCATCTTTCACGCGAATTATGTGCTAGAAAAGAGCCATTTATAGGTCAACCTAAACATTGGTTGTTCCGCTCTCCCCCTCTCCCCTTCACCCACGTACCCACCCACTCTCATAGACATTGTAGGGACCATGCCGTATCCAGTAAAGAGCTGTGATCCTGAATGGGACAGAATGGGTGACGCATACCAGGAGGATTTGTTGATCAACAACGAGTCACGCATTCCAAGCCAAAGGTAGACTTATAGTGAACTAACAAAAATGACTTTTTTAGTACATTTCTGGCATGGACGCATAGCCTTCTGTATGTGATCTATGATTACGTTCACTATAATATCTTGATAATGTTGATATTAATGTTGTACTGCTGTCGGCTCGCCTATCAAGCTGAGGAACGCATCAAAGCCTTTCCATTGCAGTGAGTTTTCCTCAGTTTCCTTACTGAGCAGTCTCTGTTTTGTGCATAGGTTCTAATGGTAAGATTGAGCTTCGCTGTGAAAGATCTATAATTGCTTTGCCTGAGGGTTTCTTTCATTCTTTCTCGAATTGAAATTCAACCTAAGCTTTGCACAGCAATTTGGGGCGCATCATGCATCGGAGTTTGGATCAGGAAAATTGGGTTTATTCCAAAAACGTTTGAAATTTATAAAACTCGGGAGGAAAGCTGAACCCGATGTCATGTCGTCAGGGCCCAGAATTAAGTTCATTTTCAGAGGCAGCGGGCACGATATCCAAGGGTGCACGGTTACTGCCAACGTCACTAGTGGAAGGGCTGAGTAAGATGTGGCCAAATGCCCTCTCACAGCCCTTTCACTAATGACATTGGCAGTAACCGCTTTACGTAACCGCAGTACGTAACCGCAGTAACCGCTTATGATGCCTTTGAGTCAGAAAGCTTAAAAAGCATGAAATCTGGTGGAACCTGACTCATACCAAAATTACGTATTAATACTGTTTCAGTATGATATGTACGGTGGCGCAAATCATTCCATTCTTCCTGTGTGTGGTTTACTACATTTCTGATGGAACCGCGGATGTTGCATTGAGAGTGCTTTCAATTTCCTCACGTGTGGTAATGATCATCGGATTCATCATCATCAACTTACAGATATTAACAGTGAGTGAATCCACAAAATTTATTTAACTTCTTTAGTAGGTTTATTAATCAAAATAAAAATTGTGGAAATGAAGGCGTCCGAAACGCGCTGAGTTATGGGCAAAAGTCGTGACCTCAGCGATGCTCGTACCCACACCTCACATTTACGGGGCGAGAGCGCCATCCGTTGCTGAACGTACTAAATTTTTCCTTTTCAGTCATTTCTGCTGCTGGGTCGAGAACTACCGTACACTCATGCGAATTCGACCGACATGCAGTTTAGGGACGCTCGAAGTCGATTGGCATGGACGCTTGTATATCTGATTCTGCCTTATATTGCGTTCATTCCATTTCTCGGTGAGATGATTTCAGATAATAACTGCGAATGCTGTGAATGGAAATGTTCGGATGGCAGAAGTTTTGTTGTAGCCAAAGATGTATGCTAAGGTTCTAAGGGCCTAAAATAGTTGAAGATGTAGCCATCAATCGCTATTTGTGAAGTTTGCTATGGGATTTTAATACTACTGTCGTGGTGTAATGGTAACCTAATAGTGAAACATTATGCGAACCTTAACCATAAGTGAACCTCAAATAGTGCGAACATTAGGAAATGAATGTTATGTTCGTAGATAGGACGCCATATTACAGAAGACCACACATAGATCTTTGATGGAAAAGGTGGTGGGCGCCCGGTAGCAGCTCCAAAACGGGTGTCGTACTCGCGGTAGAGTGACGAATAATCTCCTCAGAGTTTAAAGGCAGCGCTCACGTTCAAATTTAATGAGTATGCGGCTCAGGTAGTAATAGCGAGGTAGCAAGAAGCCTATTAGTGAAGAAAAATCGAAGAGAAAACACGCAAAATGCCCTAGAAGGAGTTTCATACCGAACAACGGTTGTACGTGCTTAAGGTGAAGTTGGCACGATAAATCCGTTATGCGAGGTTGTAGATTATGTTACCAACTGGCTTAACAGAATTCCGTGACCTCGGACAGGCGCTGCGTGAAGCCTTTTCCAAGGAGGGTACCTCTATAACGCCCTATTGAGCAACAACTTTACGTCCCAAACGCCTTCCTTGCCCGCCCACAAACGGACGACCGTTTCTGACGCTCGTATTCATTCATTTGCTGAGCAAATTATGAAGCAAAGGGATTGGTATGAAGCGGCCGGTGATGCTGCATGCATACATGGGTACACATATGCAGCCGTATCTTCGGTAGCGGTGATTGGCAAGATGCGTATGGGAAACTCGTCCGAAATCGATTTACAAGTCACTGAGAACGGAGGCTTTTTCTTCGCCGGATTTTGACCGTTTCACTCCGTTCTTTCGCCATTTCCCCACTATACAGCGCCCTACTAGCATTTTAGGCTAAGTAGGAAACCATCGTGCCAACTGCCTTTAAGGCGAAGAGAAGAGTGATTGCACGAGTTTCCACTTGTTCATATCAGCTGTTTTCCCTTATCACCTCACTCTCACCACTCCACGTGGAGAGAAGCAGCAGCGAAACAACCGCACCATCAGGCAACCATTAGAAATGAAGTTGGGTGGCGTGGTCGGCAGGGGGCGGAGCGATCGCTGCTTTGGCGAAGCCGCTGTTCCGTCGCATTTTTGGGTTGCGAAACATGCACGTCCACCATCCTCATAGGGGGAGCTACTAGGTCCAGAGAGGGCGTGAGAACAACAAATGAACGCGGGCGCTGCCTTTAAGAGAATTATTTGTGGTTTTGGGGTTGTAATAGTTAAGGAACATATACGGTTCCGTTATCAAGTCCCATTAACTACGGTTTCCTCCATGGCTCATCGAAAGATCTGCCTTTGACTTCCATCATCGGCTCAATAGCATAATAAGTGAATTCGTGGCTGCTATTTTCAATCTATTTCACGATTTTCCAAAGGAAAACTGTACATTTATCCCGGTGAACGGTCCTTGCAGGTGATTGGGGCCGCCGTTGCAGTGGCATGTCACTTTCTCAGACCGAAAATACACGGTGATGGACTACACCAGTACGATGAGACCCTTTTTCGGACTCCACCCACGCAACCGTACGACCGGCCACACGTGCTAACTTGGCGCCGGACGCGCTTCTTGTTGAACCATGCCCCACTATTCTGGACTATTCGGAGACAGCCCACCGCGTATTCAGCTCACTGTATGTCTTCCGCTCCGTGCTTTTTTTTTGAGCCACCAGAGATGACAGTACATGCAGCTGGCGCAGACCATTCATGACAAGTACTAGGATCCATAAAAGTCAGTGTAGCAGCTGGCCTTCAACCTGTGAAATAATGTTGCATTCATTCATTGTACTTTGTTATTCGGAAAAAGGGAAATGGGGTTGAGGACTACATCGACCTAAAAACTGCCGGTATTCCTGGCCATTTGATTCGACGTACTGCAACACTTCCACTTTAAATTGCTTACATACATATTTTACGGTGCCCAGCACAGCGCAGCATAAGCCTCCTGCACCAGTTTCTGTGTGTGGCTCAGCGTAGGCATAGCAAGCATGTTGGAGATGTAGATACAACTTATTCCTATTTTTTCATTTAGTGAACGATTTTGCTTGGTTAATTGCGTTCAATGGCAACGCTGATCCGACGACAAAGGTCGTAATGTCCATATGCGAAATGATCGAGTTCATCATTCAGTTCCATCGACCTCTTTTCATGAGCGTCATCACTGTTGCCTTCTTGCCTCCATACAGGTGCGTCAAATGCTTCGTTCCATATTTGCATATTAGGTTGATTAGGGCACATCGTTGTTGTGGAATTCTCAACAGGAGGGCCATGTTTGGTCGCCAGGAGAGGAGGGATCGTATTTGGGCTGAGAAGAATTTATTTTGACAGTTGATTTTCCTCGCTTCATCGACGTTGTGAAAGGGGATCGTATTTACTTTGTGGATTTCCGGGAAAGGTGGTTGACTTACCGTTTTTTCCTGTTTCATGTTTATACCTTTCCCTCGCAAAACCCCCCCCCCTCCCGCCTCGACAGCAAAAATTCTCAGGGAAAAGTAGTGGAAATTTTCTGAGTCGAAATTTTTGGAAAAGCGGCCAGGAAGAGCTTTGGCGGGAAAAAGTAGGAAAGTTCCAGGGAAATTTTAGAAAAAGCGGCAGGAAGTTGGGAAAAATTTGAGAATTGATAAAAGGAAAAGTATTTTCCTCAGCGAGCTTTTCCGTTTCGCATGCTATACACGGGGGGCGGGGGGGCAACAAAAAAGACATTTTTTTCCTCCTTGGACTGTTCGCAGGCGCTATAAGTTTACCTCATTTGAATTTTTATGGGACACTTCCACCACCATATTAAAGAGCATATCAAATACTATCACGATGCTCCGCCACAGCCTTCTGGACGAGCGCCATTGAGAGATTCTGGCCCGCAACCGCGATGTGGTACCTGAGATCAGCGAGATAGTCGATTTCTCCGCCACCGCAGACCACCCTATTGAACTCCGCCCGAACCAGGTAATTGAGGGGGTGTAGCTCAGGGAACCTGCTTAGATATTCCACCTTTACCAGGTACTCAACGTCCTTCCATTCCGAGTAGGCGAGAGTTTCTCCAATACCCTTCAATTCCATGTGTTGGCACCCAATGCTGTAGCAGTACAACCTTTCCAAGAAGGTAAGGGGACGACATGTGGGGAGGATATTCTCCTCAAGTTGCTCGATGTAACCGCCAGCGCTCACCTTCAGTCCGGGGTCCACGAAGAAAATATCGGTCTTTCTATCCTAGGGGTACGTGCTCCTGGTATCATGTACCATCAACTCGCGCCTCGGCGAATACGGTGAAGATGATGTCCTAGACCGTAGCGACGTTGCCGGAGCTGCTCGATGTTGGGAGGTCTTGCAGATCAAGAGTACTGGTCTCCAGGTAGCTATCCATGGGTGAACTTAATCAGAAGTTTCGCAGCTGTTCGGAGGTGACATGAATTCCGAAGGTCTTCTCCAGTCAGGTTGCGACTGGAGATGACTTCATATTTTGGTGTACATGAAGGTGATGGGCGAGCGCCAGCTCCTGCTTATAGAGGAACATCTTGGGTATCCTTCGCCCTGGTACTCGTATCCACGTTCTCTGTCTGGGCTGCGAAAACTTTGCTGATATGTGACTCGGTCAGAAATGTCTTTTTTTTTTGGCCCCCCCCCTGTATAGCGCCCCCCCCCCACCTCGTCGACAGCTCGATGAGGAGGGACAGAGGGCCATAGGGGGAGGTCAGACCAAACTCCAAATAAAGGCGATGAGTCGTACAGACTCGACCAAATTCCCCAACCAATGATGTGCCCTAAGGTTGATGGGGAAGTAATTAGACCCGGAACTTCTTGAGTCTCTCTTCTTTTCCGCTTTCGTTTTCGTTTTTCTTCGTTTCCGTCGTTAATGCCAAACGCTTTCTACCTGTAATTGGTGCGAGAATTCCTCCTAGTGCCTTTGCTTTACTTTTGTTAGTTGAGTGGAAAAACAGACTATTATTTCATGAGGAAAGAAAAAGTAACTTTTCCTTCATTGCTCCTTTTAACACTTGTCACAGCAGCTATCAAACAATAATAGCCTTTGAATTGTCCGTCAGTCCGCTTCATTGCTCCTCAATCCTGCTAGTCCTCTCCTCTCATAGATCACAATTATTTCAGACGTGCGATGCTGCTGACGGTACTTTGCTGCGGTTGCTGCCCCAAGATACACATCGATCCATTACCAAGAAAGCCAAACGATATGAGTATTATGTATCGATATGCTGATTTTTGATCCATGCGGGAACGTTTATGAGGAGTACTGTGGATTTTTCATATTGAAATAGGCGTGCTTCTTTTTTACTGGTAGTATTTTCATGTTGTGCGTACTTTAGATGAAGTCGATCTCGATACAGGGTACAGCATCGTAACTTGTTAGAAAGGCTGTCAGTACGACTCCTTCCATCCTCCAATTCAAAATCCTTTCCCATGGTACGACTCCTCTTCCCCATCCTACCTAGCATCTTCCCAACCATAAGTTCTCCCAGTTCTCTAGTTCCAAAAATATCCCGATCTTTCTTTGGGAAACTGCCGTCAAGCGGGGGAGGGGGCTCTGAAGAGAAGGGGGGGTCACGTCACAAACCATCTATCAGAAACAGTAATTAAATGGTGATTCTGTGGCGCCGGCAGCTAGGGAGGGGGTGCAGTTGGGTATAGCAAACATGATGTGGGAAAAAATGAAAAAAATCAGCAGTCAAAAACACTAATGCCTTCGAAAATTTTTCTCAGAAGTGCTTTCCGCCCATTCCCAAGATTGGACTATCCCAGTGATGATGACGATGCTGCACCATGTCTCAGTAAGGAGTAAGGATAGAAGATAAGATGAATGATTCGCTGTACAAAGTGAAAGTCTTGGTGGCAGCAGAGCGGGCAGCGAGGAGAGCGACAGTAAAATTAAATTAGGGCGAAAGGAGAACCCTGCCTACCGCCGCTAAGAACTGTTTTTTACTG